TGGTGGGTTTAGGTAGGAATGCTTTAGCGGTTTTTAGTGGTTTTTAGTTGGTTTAGGATGTGCTTAGCGGTTTTTAGTTGGTTCAGTGGTTGGGTGTCCATTTCACCCGCTGGCAGTTAGTCACCCACGGCCAGCCAGCATTTGGAGGTGGCTTTCGTATGGTTGAAGGGTACCCTCAAACAAAGACAGGCATGCCGGAATGGGACTCCGAGCTTGCGACTCAGGGGGTCGACCCTGGATTTCCAACATCAAACGGCAAGTCCACGCAGAGCGGCAGCTGGTCTGTCCTGGGGGCGTTTCATCTACTGGCGCCGATCCACGTGGATTTGGTTGGGCTGGTTGAAGCTTATGGCTTCATCGCTTCTCGAAACCTTCCCTCGTCCCAGAAATCTCCCATCAATGAGGACAAGTCCCATAAAAAAACAAATCCCTTTGGAAATCCAGGAAGTTCCGAATCGGTTCTGGAGCTTCAGGATGGATCTGGCGATGTGCAAGGGATCCAGGGATTTGAGTTTCTGCAAACCGGTCCTCCAAAAAAGGGAATCTTCCAGTAGAGCCGGCGAAGCCGGTTGTAGTTTGCAGCACGCTTCTTGTCCTGTTCTGCCCTTCTGGCCTTCTCTCTTTCTCTCCCTTTATCTCTCTCTCGCTCTCTCTCTCTTTCTCTCTGTCTTTCTTTCTTTCTTTCTTGATTTATTTTCTTTCTTTCTTGCGTTCTTCTGTTTTGTCCGTCCTTTCTTTCTTTATTTCCTTATTTCCCCCCCTCTCTCTCTCTCTCTTTCTCTCTATATCATTATTTGTGCACTTTAATTTTATCTTTCCTTCTTCTCCTTCCCCTTATCTGTTTCTTCTCTATGTATTTTCATTTCCTGTCGCGTCATCGTTGTCTTTATCCTGATTTCAGGTATCCTTGTCTTTCTTATATATATATATATTTATCTCTACTGTTTCTCATTCCTTAGTTATTCCTTTTTCTTTCTTCCGTATCTTTTTCCTTGTTTCTTCTTGCCGCTTTTGCTTTCGCGTCTTTTTTTGGTTGTGCGTTCCCTTTTGCTGTCGCTTTACCTTTCTCTTCGCCTGGGCCTGACCGCCTGACCTTGGGAAACTGGGCGATTTCGCGCTGCCAAGTCTGCACACCTTGCGACCGTGCAACGACCAGGCGACCGTTTTCTGGCATGCGTTCATTCTTTCGTGTGAACTTTGCGCCAACAAACGCGAAAGTTCCTTCTAAGCTTCCTTTGATAGGCGAGCTGGACCCACAAACTACCCTTGAAAAAGGGAGTTCACCCATCATTTTGGGACGGTGTCTAGTTTAATTTTGTTGGGTTCCAGGCAGACAGAACATTGCTACCCAGACCTCCAGTGGTGTTCTTTTTTCTTCTTTCTGGGAGGGGTTTCCAATGAACCAACAAAAATGCTCTTGTTTCCCAATAGCGTGCGGTCTGGGTGTAAATTTCAGGGCAACATGAAGAATCACCCAGCTATGAATTTCAACAGGGAACCACTTTTAGCGGACTACTTTATCCCCAACGATTTTGAGTAAAAGTTTTCAGAGCGCAAAGTGTTTTAGTACCCCAATTGAACCTGTCGCTATGGAAGGACTGTGTTTTGTTGGCTGGCAAACACTGAAGTAGGCCACCCCATTTTACAATGTGCTCTTCTGCCCCTTTCGGACAGGATGGGGCATGAACAGCAGCAAGCCCTTTGAGCTTATGTATCCAAGCACTATGTATGTGGCTTCTAGAGAATGGTTGGCGTCCGCCGGATTCATGGACCCAGAAAGCTTATGGAAGGCGGGCGCTCCTGGAGAAACGCAAGCCCCGTTTTCTCCGGCGAGGACGCAAGCGGAGCCTCCCGTGTCAGTCAGGTCGGTGTAGACAGTTCCCCCAATTGCAGGGACTATCCGGTCAGGGGGGGAAGTTTGGGTGCTTTGACACCTAGTTGATCATGGAGAAAGGGTCTGTAATGCTTTAGCCCCATATACCATGCCGCTTTGGCACCATTGAGGCGGACTCATTTCCAGATCTTTTGCGCACCATCCTAGCATACGTCAGCCGATGTCAGCAGTGTGCGTCCCAGACGGCCCGCAGCCATTTCCTCCAAGACCGCGCCCGGGCAAAAAACGTCAAAGGTTTCGCCAGACCGTACCCTTAGATCATGCCCCAAAGCCCCACCAAGGGCTTCCAGTCAAGCCACTGCAACCTTTAGGTTCTACATGATGGTATCCCTTGGATACCTACCATAACTGGAAGCATTGGGCCAAAGGAGTACAGAAGTTAAATGACAACTCAGGGCTCAGTAAGCCCAACACGTCGCTTTTGAAGCCTGTCCAGCATCAGCCTGTCCAGCATCAGCCTGGAAACCGCACGCCATAGTGTTTGGGAAGACCATTGCCGCTGTGCTTGGGAGCGGTTTTGGAGTGCCATAGAAATCACGGCCGTCTCGGAGTTCTTTGAAGCGCGGCTGCCCGCACAAATGGCCATGGGTCAAACCCAATGGTACCATTTTGGGGGAGGCGCACCACCCATTTTAGAACCTATTTTAGTGGGGATTGGGATGTTCGCTGGGGGTACGATTTGGATTTTAACTCATGGCCAAATAAATCCAAAAAAGTTCCGCTTCACGTTTCGGCAAGTGCGGGGTTGGAGCGCGTGGAGCTTGTATATACCAGGCAAGTCCATGTTCTTAAAAACTAGGGTGCCTTTCCCGCGAAAGAAGATGCTTCCTCTAAGTTCCCCTTGAAAAAACACACCTAAGATGGGTAGCCTCACCAAAAAAGACACATCTAGAAACTCGTTGGCATTTGTGAGGTGTGAAGGGCTCCCACGGAATGGATCCTCCGTATAGAGTACTAGCCCTTTATGGCTGGGAGTTTTGTTCGTGGATTCTCCATACCCACAAGTCGCAACTTGTTTTGAGGAGTCGACAGCCACCAAGTTCCAAGCCGCCGATTCCCGATGCTTTTCCGGGCGTGTTGCATCTGCCGATGGATCCGAAAAGCGAGCCACGGCTGGACGCTTCGGCTCCGCCCGGCCCGCGCAGTTCTTCACCGTTCAGCTGCGCGAGCCCCGCGTTCGTCGCTCTCATGCAGAGCAAGTTGCGCCGGACGCGAAAGAGAAGCAGCGGCGAAGACGGCTGGGATCTCCGCGGAAGTTATTTGGGGTCAGGAAATATGGGCCAGAATCAACCAGGGTGATTTGCGGTTGGAGGGCAAAGCTGAGAATAAGTTGCAAACAAAAAGCACGAGTGTCTTATTTGTTGGGCAAAGCAAGTCTCATTAGTACCCGGGTTTGATTTTGACCCTAAAGTGGGGGTCTCCTTCTGTGTGTGTACCTCAGATGTGGGCCAAGATACTTAGCAAACAGGTCCCATGCATGACACGACAGGCATCCTTGAGCTCGGTCCGCATGCGTTGAGCTTAAACGGCAGCTTTCCCTTCTGGTTGGATGGACGGGTTGAACTCCCCAAATCAGCCCAAACCACCAATTCAGGCAACACGTTTGACTTTTCAGGTTACAGGGAACCAAAAGGGAAGCAACACTTGTGTCCGATTTGGGAGAGAAGCCTTTTTTCGCTTTTTCTTTCGGCCCATGCACTTTTGGTTCAGCGAGGGGTTGACACCTTGCCTTGTTCCCATCCGGTGCGACCGGGGTGCACGAAACTGGGGTGGCTAGAGTTCACTTCTGGGGTCTTATGGGCGTATGTTTTGGAGCTTCCTTGTGGTTGGTTGCAGGGGACACCGCAAGAAATGTATCTAACATGTTCGCAGAAACCAAGGGGCCAGTTCCCATGCCTTCTTTGGGGCCACTTTGAAACCACGGGAACATCATTCCAAGGGGTGCGAAATGGTTTCCTCCATCCACAGTAATATCTTCCCCTTTTAATACATGGACCCTATGAATAAGTACTATTTTCCAGACTGGCTGAAACAGCCGCGTCCCCAATAAAACTTTAATAATAGCCCAACTCAAAGCCAATAGCCTTATTTGGCGGCTCCTTGCACCAACCCAATACCAAATTCTAGATGCACCTGTTTACTAATTTGCGGTTATTTCTTGAATTGTAATTTTAAGTCAAAACTGCGCCCTTTACTATTGAAGCGCAACAACGAAACAACAACCTTGATCAAATTTATTGAAATTTGTTACTCGGAAAATTGCGGTTTTGAGGTTTTGCGTGTCCGGGAAGGGGGGGAGCCCATTTGGACGAGGACCAAAGAGAAAATCCGGTCATCCCTATTCATAAATAGGTGTTGTTCGCTAGAGAGTGTTTATTATTGGGGGGGGTGTCCGCGTTTATTATTAGGGGAAGGGATCGTGGGTGTGTCTTTTGTCAGGGATCCACAGGATGGCGCGTTTTCTTTGGCCTCCCCTTAATACGAATCAGAATCCTTCGCCCACACACCAACTGCCAAGCTCTTTACTCACACGCAAAAACAACATGAAAAAGGGTGTCCTCTCAAAAAGACACATAATCATATGGGTTTGAATTCTTTGAGGGCCCCTTTTTTTGCTGTTAAAGGACAACTCATTTATACAAGGAACACCAACATTCTGGAGTCCCCTTCCGAAAAGACGAGCCACCCATGTTTTACACGAGAATATTTGTCAGGTGTGGGCCAAGGCTTTTGCAATAAGGTTTTGAGGTCTGCAATTTCAGCCTAGGAGCGAGTCACGTTGTTTTTCCATGTTTCACCTGGATGCTTCTACACATTTGGTCTGCATATTGGTGGAGAGTAATCTCTCTGTGGTCACAAGTCCGCCCCCTCAGATCAGTAACAGTCCAGGTGGTAAAGGGATGACATGCGCACTCACCCAAAATACGGTCAGCGAAAAGAGGGTTCAGAGATGCATATTTGGCATGGCTGTTCACGGAGCAATTTGTTTCTCGAACACTTTTTTTCGGTGGGTGGTCTATTTCCTGAGATGTGTCTGGTCGAGCTGATCTCTACAATGGATTGATTGGGGTCGCAACTGTGAAAGGAATCGCTGGAGAAAGCTGAGGAGGTGACGTACCTCCCGGGCTCTTCTGGCGGACCATCCAAAGTGAAGGTCTGCGTGCAAGCGAGGGAGCCCCTTGGCCCTAGGCCAAGCTTCGGCTTGTTTCTCTGTGAAAGTGGCAGAGTTTACGGCTCTCAAAGTTTCTTTTAGGTCCAGGTGTCTCTTTAGACAGCCGGGAATGTTGATGTCAACTTATTAGACCCAAGTTTGCCAGACTCGCCCAACTCATCTTACACCTGTTGACTGTTCGCCTTTTGGGTTTTGCTCCATTTCCCCCCTTTTGCCAGCAAACAGTTACCTTGCGGGTCGGTTCCGATCTCGAGCTTCATTACCCAGCCGGATCTCTCAGCACGGTTTGAAGTTTCGGATCGGGGTCGAAAGGGGTCCCTATTGATTTCCTCCAAGCACAAGTGAATGCAGGCTCCAGGTACTCTGCTGGTCTCGATCTTTTGCTCGTGCCGTTTCGGAGTTGGATTGTCATTTCTGGTCCCAAGAGAAACGGGTGTTGGCTAGTTTCGTTAAACAGGTGTTGGCTAGTTTCCCGTAGAGTTTCCCATGCCTAACACCTGATATTGTAATATTTATACATATATATGTATGTAGTTACTCACACACATGATATTGTAATGTATAGACAGTAAATACTCACGCACATGATATTGTAATACATATATGTATATACTCACACACATGATCTTGTAATATACATGTATATACTCACGCGCATGATATTGTAATATGTATATATATATATATATATATATATATGTATATGTATATACTCACACACCTGATATTGTAATATATATATATATAGATACATAAGTATAACATATACGTATATACTCACGCACATGATCTTGTAATATACATGTATATACTCACGCGCATTATATTGCAATATATATATATGTATATGTATATGTATGTATATACTCCCACACCTGATATTGTACTATATATACAACTGTACGTATATACTCACGCACATGATCTTGTAATCTTCACCTGTGGTTTTAAGAGATTCCCCGCAACCCAAATTGTGAGCCGGCCGGCCATGCGGAGCTTAGGTCGATGGTGCCCTCTGTGCTCCTCTGCTTGAAACGCCTGATGCAAAAGGCGTTCGTTCGGCGCAGCTTTGGGGAGGTGCCTTCAAGGATATTTGTTGGGGATAGCGACCCCAAGAAATCTGGGGTAGACTTAGGATACATTGACTCAAAGTGAAGCAACCAATGAAATATATGTTCTACAACTGGGCCTAACTCTCATCATGAAATATCCAGCCCTTGCTAAAACAACGCCGCACCGGTGGACAGCTGTCTCACTAGCACAGAGGGCAAGTGGGTGCCCATCCTTGCTTGGGAACGAAATGTGACTCAATGTGCTCGCCCGGCACATGGGGCAACCCATTTGTTGTAGGATAATGAACTTCCCACGTTTTGGTGCGATGGCAAGGTGTTGAGTCCTTGGGTCAGGCAAAAGGACCTGAATGAGTAATTCCTAGCATTTACTTCCCTATAGACATCGCTTAACTTAGTTTTATAGTATGCTAACTCCCCAGTCGAATTTAGCCTCTTGACGCGATTCCACAACATACAGACTTGGGAAGTTTCGGGCAACTCCACCCAACCTTTTTTTTTGACCACATCCGGGTGTATCAAAATGAGGAGGATGTTTGGGGCTCCGTTTTGCGGCGCAGGCGCTTTTGGAAAAGGCAACACCTTGATCCTCAGCGACGAGTGGAAGCGATTGCATGAGAGCATTGTCAGTGGTGCCTTTTCACCTCAACTCAAAGGCAAGCACAAGGACAGCCGTTTTTTGGGGTGGTCCCCTATTCCAAGACGCAATTTGACCTCTCGGGTTTTGGGAAGCTCGTCGATGGCCGCAGATGAACTTCCAGAGATAACGAACTAACCAAGCTGATAGTTTTGGGGAACACGTGAGGGGCCCACACGCTCTGAGAATTCCACAAACATCTGATTGGCACTTCCTTTTTCTCGAGGATTCCCGCCCAAAAGGGTGCCCCCGTTTTTCTGGAGGTTTGGACCTTGAACACGGCCTTGTGCTCTCCTGTCGGGAAAGGAATTTCTTCAGCGGTGCTGTTCTTTGGGTTTGTCCGAGCTCCGAGCTCCGAGTTTGACAGCGCGTTGAAATTCGGGAACGCCCTCTGCGAAGCGATCAATGGCCTTTTGTGGAGAGCCTTTCTGCCTGAAGTCAATTTGTGGGTTTCCCCTAGCGTCAGCCCGCGCGAAGATCCTCTACCTTCTTGGGGTGCTTTCAAAGGGCACCAAAGGGCGTCACCCCATGTCGTGGATATCTCACTTCCCGAGTTCCTGCATTTGCTTTTTGGGGAAGGCCGTTTTAGTGAAAAAAAGAGAAAGTTTGCCGGCTTTCTCTGGCCAATCCACTCGCTCGGTGAGCAACTGACACGCCAACATGGGGGTGTGCCTGGCCCGAGGCCCTTGGGCAGCCTTGGCAACCATGGCGCCCCTCGGCGCAAGTTGGGTGGGTGTTGAGTTGGGGCCGAGCTTTTGGTGGGCTTAAAATAGTTTAGAGTGGTTTAGGTTGGGGCGGGCCTAGGGTTGGTTTGGCTCCAGGTTAGGGTTGTTGGGGTTTACCCTCTTTACAATCATGGAAGTGGACCTAGGGCTTCCCCAAAAGGAAGGTAGTCTTGCAAAACCCTTCTGTCAGCTTCTACGATTCTTGGAGGGAGGGTATTTGTTTGGAAACCAAAAGGACACCACCATGTTTGGGACGTAGTTGGACGCAAGTTTCTCTCTTTTCCTGGAAGATATGCATCCATCCCACCAAAGACTCCGACCACTTCTCGCAACAATCATGGAAGCAAAAGGGAACCCGTGTTGAGACGATGGAAGTGTTCCATACTCCTGTCCATGTAGATGATTGTAAGAAAGAGGCTAGCTGCATGAATCATCCAGTCAAAGGAGTGCCCTATGGACCATATCCAGCCACTACGGCACCTGTTGGTGTTTTGTGCTTTGTTGGTGTCGCATCGCACCTCAGCAAGCGGAAGTGTGGGTGTGTTGAAATGACCTTTTGGGGCAGATGAGAAATGGCGAGGTCAGATAGGATGTAATTAGAAGTGAGAAAGAGATGCGAGGAAGGGAATAGGAATGGCATATGATGGATAGACCTGCCATCTATCTCCTCTTCCTTCACCATCCTGTGTTTTGTCCACCTACCAATCATCACTCTCTCATGGTCAACGAGTGGGATGAGGTGGCAAGATATATCCACACCCTCTCGCTCCCTTTGTTCGCGAGTAAACAGGATGTGGTAGGACGAGGAGATAGGATGAGATGACAGGTGAATTCCTTTCCCTTCGGCGACCTTTCTAATCTCATTAGCAAGCTTCAAGCTGTTTGTAGGTGTCTGCTGATCATGGCACCCCTAAAAGGGTCGTGTGTGATAAGGAATCCGGTCTTTTGTGGGGAGGAAAACACTTTGGGTTTTGGCTTTGCAGAGCAACTGTATGGCTCGATCCAAACCAGCGCGGATCGTTTCGGCTTGGGTTGTTTGCCCCCAGCGAGAGCCGTAGCAGCTTCGCAACGATTCTTCTTTAACAGCTAAGCTGTGGGCATGGGGCCTTCCGGCCTTCCGGGAAGGTTTTTGTTTGGGCTTC